TTTAGTGAGCATATGTTTATATTTCATTTCTTTTAAGTAAATATCCAAAAGTAAATATCCAAAATTATTTGACCATAGAATAGGTATATGTGTGTCTTTATCAGAAATTGTCAAATAATTTCCTTCCAGCACCATATGAGAGCTTCAGTTATTCTATATCTTCACCAACATTTAGTGTTATGTCTTTTTTATTTTAGCCATTCTATTAGGTGTTTAGTAATATTTGATATTTTAAATGTACATTTTCCTGTTAACTAATGAAAAAGTTTGAGTACAAGTTCATGTGCCATATAGTCTGTTCATCTATCTTCTTTGAAAAGTCTGTTTTCCCCCCAATTTTTAATAAGTGTGTCTTTTTATCATCAATTTGTAGGATTTTGTTATTGTTGTATATTCTTTCTTTTCTAAAGATTTTATTTATTTATTTGAGAGAGAGAAAGCATGAGCAGGGGTGGGGCAGAGGGAGAGGCAGGCTTCCCACTGAGCACGGAGCCCGATGGAGGACTCCATCCCAGGACCACGGATCATGACCTGTGCGAAGGCAGACACTTAACCGACTGAGCCACCCAGGCGCCCCAACTGTTGTATATTCCAGATGCAAGTCTTTTGTTAGATATATATTTAATCAGGTTTTTTTTTTTTCTTTTTTTAAACCAGTCTGTGGCTTGTCTATTTTCTTAATGGTGTCTCTGCGGAGCAGAAAGTTTTAAAATTTTAATGTTGAGTTTATCCATTTTGTGTCATTATTGTTTGTGCTTTTTGTTTTCTGTCAAAGCAGTCTTTGCCTAACCCAAGAAGTAGAGATATTCTCTTGTATTTTCCTTCTAGAAGCTTTATGGTTCTGTGTTTTATATTTATGTCTATGACTCATTCATCCTGTGTTAATTCTTGGTTATGAAATGAGAGGGGTTGAGGTTAATTTTTCCACATGGCATCCAGTTGTTTCAGTTCAATTTATTGAAATGCATTGATACCTTTGCTGAAAATCAATTGACTGTACATATAGTATGTGTATATATATGTATATATATATAGAGAGAGAGAGAGAGAGAGAGTCTATTACTTTAGACTCTTTATTCTGTTTTACTGATGTATTTAGATATATATATATATATATATATATATATATATGTATACGCCAGCACTACAATCTTGATAGTGTAGCTTTATAAGTCTTGAAATCCAGTAGTGTAAGTTCTTCAGCTTTGTTCTATTTCAAGATTCTTTTGCCTATTCTAGAACCTTTGTATTTCTATATAAACCATAGATATATTTACACAGTATATGATTTCTTATAACTGCTAAAATAAATTACTACAAATATGGTGGTTGAAAACAACAGAAATGTATTCTTCCACAATTCTGGAGTCTAGAAAACCAGAATCAATATAACTGGACCAAAGTCAAGGCTCTAGGGGTAAGAGTCCATTCTTTCTCTCTTCCAGCTGCTGGTGGCTGTCAGCATTCCCTGGCTTATGGACTCATCACTCCCAGTCTTTGATACCATTATTTGAAATCCTTCTCTGGCTCTCTGAATGTTCTTCATACCATCTTCTCTTCTGTGTGTCATAGCCCCTCTGCCTCTTTTCAGAGTACTTTCCATTTAAAGATCTTCAAGTTACACCTTCAAAGATCCTTTTTCCTTATGTAACACTTTACAGGTCCCAGAGATTAGGACCTGATATCTTTAGGGGCCATTATTAGCCTACCATAGAATGTTTTACTCTCTTTTAGACCTTCGTTTTGTTCTGGAACTTGCTGTCAAAACAGATTGGACTGAGACTTTTAGCACCCTAAATAACATATTTATTTATTTGCTAATAATTGCCATTTCTTTCTTTCTTTCTCTCTCTTTTTTTTAAGATTTTATTTATTTATTTGACAGACAGAGATCACAAGTAGGCAGAGAGGCAGTCAGAGAGAGAGGGGGAAGCAGGCTCCCCGCTGAGCAGAGAGCCCGATGTGGGGCTTGATCCCAGGACTCTGGGATCATGACCTGAGCTGAAGGCAGAGGCTTTAACCCACTGAGCCACCCAGGCGCCCCTCTTTCTTTTTTTTAAAACATATAATGTACAGGGGTACAGGTCTGAATAATTGCCATTTCTTTTTTTTTTTTTTTTTTAAGATTTTGTTTGTTTCTTTGACAGAGATCACAAGCAGACAGAGAGGCAGGCAGAGAGAGAGAGAGAGGGAGAAGCAGGCTCCCTGCTGAGCAGAGAGCCCAATGCGGGGCTTGATCCCAGGACCCTGAGATCATGACCTGAGCCGAAGGTAGAAGCTAACCCAATTAGGTGCCCCTAATTGCCATTTCTTTTTTCTTTTTTTTTTTAATGCATTTTTTTTTTAAGATTTTATTTATTTATTTGACGGACAGAGATCACAAGTAGGCAGAGAGGCAGGCAGAGAGAGAGGAGGAAGCAGGCTCCCTGCCGAGCAGAGAGCCCGATGCGGGGCTCGATCCCAGGACCCTGGCATCATGACCTGAGCCTAAGGCAGAGGCTTTAACCCACTGAGCCAACCAGGTGCCCCCTAATTGACATTTCTTAATTGGACTCTGTATCATAGAATAAAATTTATTACATTCTAATAATAGCACAACAAATTAGACCTAAAAAGCCTCAGATGGTGAGTTGCTTATTTAAAATAGCAGTCAGGAAAATACCAAGTTAGTAAGAAATTGTATTATGCTTGGACTATCATAGAACTGATCTATGACTCAATAAAATTTAGTGATAGTTTCTCATTTTGGGTGGCCACAAACTAATTCTTGATTCTGTAGGGCTTTCTTGGTAAGGCTTGTTACATAAATCTTCTTCACATAGTATTAGAAGAATAGGTCAGCTAGCTAGAGAACTTTAACGTTGCAGACTCTGTTTTGGTTTGGGGCTGTTACTTAAATGGCCCAAATGTAGGGACTGCCTAGACCTCAGTATGGGAATGACTTTTATGAGGATGATTTGATAAATCATTATCATAAAAAGATGAAATAGTGAAGCCTTAGTTTCCCTTTCTTTTCTTCAGTCATTATATTAATTAGCTTAAATATTTAAATGTTGATAACTGTTAAATTTGGCATAGGAAGAGAAATAGTTTGCCAAAGGGAAATTCTCTTTGTTTGCCCTGTAATCTTTTTCTCAGCATGCACAGTGTTCTTCTGTGCAACCAGATAACACAGTAGCTTTTGCTCTGCTAGCAAGAATCATCAGCAGTGTGAAAAAGTTCAGCATGAAAAAAAATTCACTGTCAAAACCAGTAGTCTGCGTTAGGATTAAAAATTATATACTTTCTGATTTCTGGATTGAGGATTGAAGTCAATTTACTTCGTGTTACTTGCCACAACTCACTGAGTGACTTTGGCCTTAGTAACTTGGATAATGCATGACATTACACTTGCAGATATTTTGTGTTCTTTCAATGTCTGTAAAATAGTCAAAGAATTTAAGTGAGTATGCCATTATTAATTGATGAGTATGTGAATGGATCATATTAATGTCATGAAATGTAAAAATGGTGGGGTTTTTTTGCATGTTTTATTATAAAAACTTGGAAGAAAAAGGACAAAATCTAAAGGAGGAAAACTAGTCTACTAATTCAAGGAGATTCCCAAGGTAACTTTTAAAATTAAGGTATGTTCTAAGCTTTCAGAGTAATAACTGGTGGCAAATTCTAGTTGAATACTATCAAGTGGTTCCTTGTTTACTTGAGAGTGAAAAAATGACACGTTTGAAGATCTGCTACTATGGTCCCCACGTTATTTAAGTGAAATGTCTCTACATTTACATAACCTTTTCTCGCTTATTTGTTGAAAGACTGCTGAAATGCAAATGACATTGATTCTTTCAGAATGAATAAATAAAAAGAGAAGGGGGAGCCATGGAGAATTTAGGGGGAAAAGGAAATAATATGAGATCTCTAGTAAGCCACATTTTACATTAGCATTTGAGAATTGATGAATTTGTATAAAACGTTGTTTTGACCAAATACTTTAAACAAATTACTGCATATTGAAAACATTTTTAAACATTTCTTAGGTTTTGAAAACACAAGGGAGAAAGATTTACTAATGAATTAACTTATATCCCAATGTTTTGTTTAGTTCTTCAAAGTTGTTTCTTACTGGGGTGCCTGGATGGCTCAGTTGGTTGAGCATCTGACTCTTGGTTTTGGCTCTGGTCATGATCTCAGGGTCATGAGATTGAGCCCCATGTGGGGCTCCGTGCAAGGTGGGGAGTCTGCTTGAAGTGCTTTCTCTTTCCCTCTGCCTCTGGCCCTCCTCCTTCTCGTGTATGTGTGTGTGTGTGTGTGTGTGTGTGTGTGTGTACGCACGCACGCACGCTTCTCTATCTCTAAAATAAATCCTTAAAACAAAAAAATGTTTCTTACCAATCTGCCCTAGAATCATTATTCAATAAAAGTTTTTGTTTGGGGATTTGTAACTTTAAAATCTTTAGGACTGAAAAAAAAATCTTCAGGGCTGAGCTGGAAGATGAAAGGTATTTATTTTTAAGTATGATTGTATAATCTGATTTCCTAAGAAAAAGCTAATAGTTCAGTAGTGATGGTTTTTACAGCTAAGCACCTTATATAAGGAAAGTGTCACACTCTGCATAGTTTGTGCCCTTTCTTTGTCATGTCCCGCTCGTCTGCAAGTACCTATTTCTGTTTGCGTTAGTCATCCTCTCTAGGTAAATTGTCCATGAGACCAGTGATTCCATCAGCAAATTATCCAGAAAATGCTGTCTTTGCATGTTGTGACAGATTATGTCACTGGTGGATTTATAGCTACTCCAGTGGTCTCATTAACCTGGCAGTTGTCTCCTGTGCCCAGCACTGTTGTCTCATTGCTTTGGTATCTTAGTTTTCATCTTCTCATCACCTTCTTTCTTAACTAAAACTTAGATTTACAAGTTTTGGGGTTTTTTGTTTTGTTTTAGTTTTTGTTTTTAACCTACCCCCCTCAACCCTCTCTACTCACCACCCCCTTTATTTTTGATTGGCAGTATCATCCAGATAAACAAAGTGCAGATGTGCCAGCAGGAACAGTGGAGCAATGTATACAGAAGTTCATCGAAATTGATCAGGCATGGAAAATTCTAGGGAATGAAGAGACAAAAAAAGAGTATGACCTGCAGCGGCATGGTGGGTACTTGGGGTGAGGAGCCATAGCACACTGGCAACTCTTTGAATAGCATTCTGTAGCCGTTCCTGAGGAGCGTTTTCCAGCCTTCGTACCAAGTTATTATTGCCGCCTTGACTCCTCCCCTCCATCACTGTTTTTAACTATGTCCTCTGCTTAGTGGTGCTTATTGTGTATCTGTTGAGTAGTTAACAAAACTCCTAGGATGTGGCTTCTTTGGAAGCCATGAAAGCTGCTTTTTCTAACTAATGAAAAAGGTTTAATCACACATTTCTAATTAATGTTTAATAACTTCTTTCCATTAAATTTAATTATGTACTCATTTTAATTGTAGCACTTTTAACAAAGTGTACTATATAAATGACAATCGAAAGGAGGGTACTATAGGGGATAACATCATAAAGTACTCTGCTGTCTTTCAGCTTGTTTTAGGCTAGGTTTCATGATTGTCTCCCAAATAAACTATTCTTTATAAGATTGCTATAAATGGTATTTTAGGAATGCACCTTTCCTAAGCAGTTTTAAAAGTCATTTCTTTTATGCATTTTAGAAAATAGCTTCTTAAAACAGTGACAAGCTCTAGTGAGAAAGAAAGAAAAATGTAGGTCAGGTTTGTCACACATAGACTGCAGTTACACGAAGTGATAGGCTGTCTTTCAGCAGTGGCCTTGGTATAGGAGTCCCTCAGTCTTCTATTTGAACCTTCAGTATGCACCCTGCATGCTAATGGGGGGGAGTCAATAATCAGTTACAGCCTGTGGGGAAAACACTCAATTGCACTCTGCAATAGCGCACCAGGTTCAACATTGACTCGAATGTGTTGATAAAAGCTCACTGTGTAGTTGATTATTGAATCCCCTCCCATGCCCTACACTGGCACATCATCAAACCTAACAAAATGATTTTAAGGCTCCAGCGACTACGGTTCTGAAAATTTGATTTGAGAAACGAGGCTTGCTTCTAAAACACAACATTAGAGGATAAAGCCAATGGTATATATGGAATGCCCATATTTATTTTCGGAGGGAATTGTACTGATAAAATTAAGTATTTATAACTTACAGGCAATGTGTGTATCTTCGTGTATAAAGACTTCATGAGCTATTCAGGTACTGGAGAACTTAAGAGTGACTTTCATCATAGTAAACAGCTCTAAAGCCCTACTTTTTTAAGACTGATGAGCTTTTTAAAAATATTAGGAAACTGATGAGTGTACCTTTGCCATGAATTTGGATTAATTTTCAAATATGGCTTGAATATTGGGTCTTATCTATTTGGTGCATATGTAAGTATCTTGCACGTGTTGTATTTCTCTTATAAATATGTTTTACTTTTGGCAGAAGAATGTACAAGTGGATGAATTCTATTCACAGATCTATCTTTTTAACCTTGGTTCACATGATAGTATTTTCTGTGAAAAATACTGAAGCTATACACGAATATGTTGCGTGAGAAGTTACCTCTGTGCTTTTTGCCCATCTTTACCAGTCATTACTTTCTGGGTGCCAGTTTGCTTAAGATAAGGATAATCCACAAAACTGTACTTTGAGGGGTGTAAGGTACATACTCGCCCTCTGGCTCTGCATTTTTGCCACTCCACAGCCTGTGTACTGTTAAGAACCTGTCAGTAAAACTGACTGGAAGCCCGCTACCTAAAGAGAAAAGAGGGAGAAAACAGGAATAAAAAACTAATCTCTCTTGCTAGGGAATAGGGTATTGGTAGATGAGAAATGGAGAGAAATAGGCAAACAGTGTTAAAAGTGAGCAGTAGAATTGCATTAAAAAAAATGTAAGAACAAATAATCAACAGCTTTAACCCTTTCTCATTGCCCTTGGGAAGTCCTTGGAAATGTGGATTTCTTTTGAGCTTTTAGTCCTTGGTTTTAAGGTATTAATGGAGATAACTGCAGCCTGCAGGATCACAGGGGACTCTTGTAGGTCATTGATGAGGCCACAACATTTAGACAAACTGAATACAGTGAGAAATGGGCCTGATTCATAAACCGATAAATCAGCAGATCTGCTTGGAATTTATATAATGTTCGGTTTGCTTTGCAATTTTTTTAAGCAGGTTCTAGGAGGACAGTAGAAACTCAGCTTTTCCTGACCTTTTACTATGTCAGATCTAAGTACAAAGTATTTCCTTCATTACCAGCAGCTCCAGATGGTGAGAATGCTTTACTTTTGTTTTAAATTAAGATTGGATTGCTGTTCAGATAAGAAGTAGAAGTCTCTTATCCAAATATAACTTGCTGTTTTTAAGCCTTTCATACTACAGCTATTTTTAAAAATCTCATAATAAACCTAGTTTCATCTTGTCATTTCTTTTGAATGCTGACATTAATTTTTCCTTCTTGACCCATCTTCAGTAATTGGCTCCTCAAAAGAAGGAAATGAACTTGAACGTCTAACAGTGAGGATTTAGATTTGATAGAAGGAAAACCTTTGAGAGTGATAATTTGTTAAAGACCAGGATAGGTTACCAAGAGAGAGAGAATTTGTTATAACCAGGTCAAAGCACTCTTTTTTTCTGGGTCACCCCCTGGGGACATGGAAATAGCTTTGTTATACAGAACTCTTTTTGCATGTGGTGATAGTTCATTGTAGAACTTTCTTTTCATAGGGTGTGCTTTAAATATGTTTGTTTCCTGCCTTCCATTAACTTGGAGTATAAAATCCATTAACTGTAATACCTGGGAAGGAGGCAAGAGACATTTATATGTTGAATGCTTTCTCATATTTCACAACTCAAAGTTGGTGCTCTGTTGTAAGAAAACTCATCAGTATTGCTCACAAACATTTATTTCCCTAAGAGATTGTTTAAAGGGGCCCTTGACGTCCATATTTCTTTGCTTCACAAAAGATACTATCCAATGAGTTCTAATAAAGAAAAAGTCTAGGGTAGATAGCCCCAGTAAAGTACATATATCTTTCTTCGCCATTTCCACGTATCTAGTCTTAGTTGATATTTTTAGGGCAATGTTGGCCAGGCTGAAGAAAAGCAAATCTAAAAAAGGATTAGTAATATTCAGTTCCCAGATACTATACATTTTGAAAGCACTGTTAACTAGTGAATTTAATCAATTAGTTCCAGTTGGCATATTTACCTTCTTGTTTCTAAGGATGCTTCCAAAGGCTTGCTTCCCATATTCCTTTGAAAGGCATATAGTTATTCAAGATTAGGCTTTGCATTTCTAGACAACCAGATGAGCACTTTGGAAAATCTTTTCTGGATTTATAAAATGTTTAAATGAGTAATATCTGTCGAATAGATTTTGGTGCCCTTATAAATATATGGGGAGTTTTCTTATATATTAAGCACATTAAAAAATGCATCAGAAGTATATTGTGGGAAAATAATAGGGATCATGATTCAGTTGCTTTGTAATATATGACAGTCACACAGATGTCCAATGTCTCAGTGGTGCTACAGAGTGACATAGCTGATGAGTTAGGTTTACTTCTTTGTGACCTGACATAAAACAAACCTTCAAATGAAATCAGTCAGGTTAAGTAATGTTTTTAAAAAATAAGTGGATTGTGTTTGGAATCCTTCGTGGTATATTATTTTATATTAAGATGTATCTTGGTTTTCTATTAGTGAATTGTTTTTGTAATGTGGAGTTTTCACCTTACACAATCAGACAAGTACTTGGATACCCAAAATAGCCTGGCTCAGGAGATTGGGCCAGATGTTATACAGTCATTGTGTCTTTACTCAAAGCTAATCAGCTACTCTCCCTTAGCTAGATACAAATGGTCATTTCTGGTGTTGTGTTATACAATTTACATTGTCCCCTTTATAAGGATAAATATTTGAGAATGGGAGATAAGCAAATAAATTGCAGGCCAAATACGAACATATCTTTAAAACCCCATCAATGTTAATTTGTTAACATGTAATTTCTTTCTTTCTAATTTTTTTTTTTTTTAAGGATTTTATTTATTTACTTAACAGAGACGGAGTGAGAGAGGAAACACATAAGCAGGGGGAGCGGGAGAGGGAGAAGCAGGCTTCCTGCCGAGCAGGGATCCTGATGGCGGGGCTCGATCCCAGGACCCTGGGATCATGACCTGAGCTGAAGGCAGATGCCCAATGACTGAGCCACCTAGGCACCCCAACATGTAATTTCTTAAGCCCAAAATAAGAATCGTTCCTGAAAAGCTGATGCTTCCTGAAAAGTTAATGCTAAAGACTGATTAACTCCATAAGAAGGGAAATAATACTTCTAAATGTAGATAATACGAATCTGAGTTAACTTAAGAATAATGACCTAAGGCCAGTAGATATTTATGTAGGTTATGTGCTAAACTGACCCTTACAAAATACTTGTATTAGTCAGATTAGAGTTTCCATCTATGATCATATCAGTATTTCCATTTGATTTTAGGAATTTGAAAATTGGCTGTAAAAATGTGCTTCAGGTAAAACTTGAAGATAAGCATCAGGGGGTATGTTTTTTTTAGTGACTGTTTCTGGGAAAAGTACGTATGTGAAATGATGCAGAAAATCCATCTAGACAGTTAGGGACTGGCATTTTCTTCAGAGGGAGAAGAGAGTATAGAGAAAACTTTCTGTGAGGGTCCTCCTGTTCCATCTTATTTGTCATAAGAAGGTGACTACTAATGTTACCTTTTACTTTTACTTGAATGCAGGTATCTGTTTTTGCCGTGAAAATGTATTTTAAGATCTTTTCTCAGTGGTTTTGCCTAAAAATTTGGCTAGTTTCAAAGAATGTTATAGAAAGCTATGGTCAAGATTATAGTTATACACACACGCGCGCGCGCGCGCACGCACTTGGACACATTTGGGAGTTCTGATTTAATACTACTGAAAATGGAAGATTTAAGGAAGTTTGTGTTTCCCACTTTAATGTCTCTCCCAATTTCTACTTGGGTACTTGACTGATTGAAATCAATGAGTCTTAACCCAAAACAGGGTTGGTTACCTTTCTCATTGCTTGTTTTTTCCCTCAGACTTGAAATCTTCATTTCATATTAC